GGCCTCATGGGCCTTTATTACATTTATAGGCTAGTTAGATTACTATCCCAACACTACTCCCCCTCTAGTGATTTGTAAACTTTGAAAAATCACAAAGGTTCAGCTTTTTACTTTTATAGGTTGTGGTGAGGTCCAATTTATTCTTGAGGAATCTAGTTAGGAAACCTTGATTTGAGATTTTCAACTTGTAAGGTAAGAATGACAACCTAGAACTAAGAAGCTAAGAGTGATGACCTAGAACTAGGAAGCTGAGAATGACAACATGGAATTAGGAATCTGAGTCGGAGCTAAGAGTGACGACCTGGAATCTAAGGGAGCTGAGAGTGATGACCTGGAACTAAGAAGCTGAGGAATGATGACTTGGAACCAAGGGTCTTAAAGTGACGACTTGGAATTAGGCATCTGAGTAATGACAACCTAGAACTAGGGAGCTGAGTAATGATGACTTGGAAACCAAGAATCTAAGTAATGACGACCTTGAACCAAGGATATGATGAAGAATGATGACTTGGAACCAGGGATATAAGGAATGACAACTTGGAAACCAGAAAGCTGAGAGATGATGACTTGGAATCAGGGATCTGAGCCGGAGCTAAGAGTGACAACCTGGAAGATATTTCTTAGCTCGTCATTCTTTGTTGGAGTTGTCAACTCGTGATTCTTTTTGAAAGGCTCACCAAATAAAGATTTGGATCTTGCCCAACCCAAGTAGAGATTTGGGTCTTGCTCAAGCCTTTTCATTTATTGACGGGGTCTTTGAGTGGTAGATAAAACTCTGATGTAAGAACTCACCAAATGGAGATTTGGATTGTGCTTAGCCTTGCTTATCTATTGACGAGGTCTTAGGGCTAAAGATAAACTCTGATGTAAAAGCTCACCCAATTAAGATTTGGATCTTGCTTGGCATTGCTCATCTATTGAAGAGGTCTTAGGGCGGCAAATAAAACTCTAATGTAAGAGCTCACCAAATAAAGGTTTGGATCTTACTTGGCCCTACTCATCTATTGAAGAAGTCTTAGGTAGGGGTGGCAATTTCCCCCGATCCTCGCGGGGCCGCGCGGGGATCCCCGTCACGGGGACGGGGCGGGGGGGGAATATTCCTCCCCGCGGGGCGGGGATGGGGGGCATTTTGTCCCGGTGAAATTTCGCGGGGAATTTTCCCCGCCCCGTGGGGCCCGGCGAGGATCCCCATCCCCATGAAAAAATAAAAAAAATAATTTAAATTTAATTTAATATTTAAAATAAAATTCAAACATAATCCAAACCCAATTCAATAAAAATTAAATTTTACCCAACCCAACCCAATCCAACCCAATCCGACCCAACCCAAGTATCAACCCAACCAGCCAACCCAAACCAAGTATCAACCCAACCGGCCAACCCAACAATCCAGCATCCTCCTTACAATTTCCAACCCTAATTAATCCCCCTTCCAACCCTAATTTCATAACTTTATTCATTTCCCCTCCTTTTCTCCTCACTCACG